CGTTCGTAACGTCGTCGAGCTTTGGAACTCGAGGATTTGGACGAAGCCTTCTCGAATGAGGGTGACGGTGGAAAGGGGATAAAGAGGGAAAAAGGGGACAGGATAGGAAATGAAATTGGAGTAGGGATTGAGAACGAGGGGTTAGTCGACATAGAGGAAGCTTACCTTATTTTTCCTTTCTTTTCTACATTTTCGGCTACAGACTTAATGTATTTAGATCTAAATAGTAAGCTGTTTCGATTTAACAATACTTTTTAATGAACTCGTTAGTACTGTGAGATCACATTGATTTGTCTTATAATAGAAATTAATATGTCAAAGTTTTATTAAATAATTGTATTCGCGTTTAGTATAAGATAGGAAAGAGTTCATTCTTAACTAATATTATTTTAATATATTTTATGAGAGGTCATTTTATTTAATTGAAGAAAGTAAATCATTGAGAAAGAGTTGGTGTCCAAAATTGTATCACATCAGTCACGAGATATAATATAAGATAAGGGTAAGGGTGGATATTATAAGAATCCCAGAGATAATTTTGGTATTAATATCAAAAAATTCACGTCATACTATGGAACGACTCGTCCTTGAAATTTACAAATTCATCCAACGAATTTTATCATTAAACAAGTCTCTCGCAAACCGATCAAGGTGAAAAGACAAAAAAAGAAAGAGAAAAAGGAAAAAGTTGGGGTATTAAGTTAGGCTTTGCGTTCTCATGACGATTTACGAGACATTTGGCGGGAACGTATTTGGGTCAGCTTGTTCATTGGCGATGGACTATGAATTAGGCTCTTTCTATTTCTTTTTTGTTCTTTCTCCCTCTTCCATCCCTCACTTTCTTGCTTTTCTACTCATACGTTCGAGGAAACGACTGTTGAAATCATCTATTTGAGAATATTCTCTCTCTCGCTCTCTCTCGTACTGTTTTGGGTGGTAGGGTTTTGGAATGGAAGGGGTCAGGCCGACGAGGTAGTTCCAGTTACTGCTGCTGGTGCTGCTGGTGCTGCTGGTGCTGCTGGTTCTGGTGCTGGTGGTACTGTTGCTACTACTAGTACTGGTGCTGGTGCTTGCAGGACGTTCGATAATCGAGCTAGCTGGTTCTGCGTTTCGAATGCAGAGACGTCGGAACTTTCGAGGGTGGTATCGCTTATATAGTCAATTTCCGAATACCGGAAGGAGTACTTAACGTTCTGCGTTAAACTCAAACACATGTAGTCCATTACGTACATCTGATTCATTTCCGATCTTTTGAGATACCGGCCTTGAGATTGATCGACTGATTAATAGATATTTTTTAATTTTAATATTATTCGGCCTATTTGAATAAATCGGTCAAACAAATAATATAATTATCAGATTCTTTTGTTCATTCGTTTGATAAATATTTGAATTTTATCATCTTCTTTTCATTTTTCTTTTTTTTTTGCTCTAATTACTCTTCTATTTTTTTCTGTATTATAACCGTTTTCAATATAAACGATTTCGTGACGTGTGTAACGAATATCGATTTTAGAAGCTCACGCATAGACGTTTTATTTGTTTTTACGAAACGTCAATCTCAATCGTGATAGGATACGTCCTATACAGTTACAACAATAATCATGTTCAAATAATATATACTTATGTATATATATATATATATTGTAAAAATCACACGTATTTTTGTTTCTTAAACCTTAGAATCTAAAATAGGCATTTGTAGTGATATTATGAAACTTAAATTAGTAAACATAACGCCATCCAAAGTATATATGTAACGCCATCCAAAGTATATATATAAGTGTTTGAAACAGTTTTTAAGAAACGCTTCTTTACGTCCCAGAAGTCGTTATGGTTATTAACGAGAAATAAGAAAACTCTTGCGAAATAATTATGTTTTTCAGTTGGTCGATTCGTTTTTTCGTATAAATAGTTCAGTCATTGTTAGTTAAAGCTTAGGATAGGTTATTCTTCGCATTAATTTTAAATTATTATTGAGAGTCTTACTATAAGTGAACTTATACTGGATGCACGTGTGCGTTTTGTAAACTTATAAATATTTTATTGTTTATTATATTAAATATTAATATATTATATTTAGGGACTGATAAACTTTATGCTAATTATAAGTATAAATTATTACCGAGTATGTTATTATAAGATAGCTCATGTATAACAAATAAGCCTTGTAATGCATAATTTATTTTCATAAATTGAATACAACTGCAACATCTTGTAAATTTTTGTGAAAATCTTAATTTTCAATTTTTTTTTTCATATATTATATTAATTAATATAAGAGTTGATAAAGGTTTTCTAGTATGGCTCTAGCTAGGTAAATTATTTTATACAAACGAAAACCGTTCTTCTCGAGTAGAAATGAGATGAAATCGTTTGTTAGATTAAAACGATGCCTAATTACTCAGGATTCTTAGTGCTGATAGACTATCGTCCTTCTTTCCCACGGAAAAAGAAAATGTAACACGAACAATCCTCCCTCAATTCGAATTTCGGTCATGGACTAGTTAACTTTCACGCTTCCTTAGCTCGTGTGCCCGTTATCGATCACGAAAGAAAGCGCCATGCGGTTAAGTTCATAGGTACATATAAGTTGAGAGGACGGACATACAATTGTTGCAAATATCCTTTGTATAAATTTCTAAATGTTTTATTACAAGCGTTATTGCGTTTATAAATAAAAATAATTTGGTAAATTTTAAATATATGATTTTCTTTGTAAAACATATTATTATTATTTAATTAAACATAATTGCAATATTATTTAAATCTATTTATAATTTCAAGTATGTGTATTAATTATTATGAATTATTATTTTTTTTTTATATTTAAATGTTCGTTTGATAGATATATGAAATTATATTAAAAAGTCGAAGAAATAGAAACATCTCGTGATAATTAGCTAACGAACGACGTAACGTGGTGAGTGTGCTGAGCGATGTTGAAGTTGCGTGCACGAGTTATCTCTCGGTGAGATTCTATTTAGATAACACGCAGTCGCGACAATGTTGCTTTGCTTTGCGTAGGCTGTAGAGAAACGTGTTCACGTTGTATCTAATATATCTATGTATACGTATTTACCTATATGATACTAGACTAGTTTTGTATCTTCATACTTTCAAAAGAACCTACGTTAGAATACAATAAGAACAAAAATATGTGACACTACTAATTCATAAAACAATATTTTCCTTTTAATCGCGATTACTTTTTGTCATAGACTATTTTATTTGTCAAAACTTTAAAGATCAGAAATATATAATAACCAATCTTAAAATAGTCTAGTTTATTCAACCGTCAAAATATTTCCAAGTGTATGTTTGTACCGAATTTAAAGAATTCTTCAGAAAGTAAACTTCGTCAGTAGCTACAACGAAAGTAAACAAAAAAGCAAAGGGTTGAATAATCAAAGAATAAACAACATCCGAATCGGATGGTGCGAGGTAAAATCAATTGCAAAAGCGTACAATCAAGAAGCTCATAGCTGCAGTAAAATTTGACGACGGATCTTTGGATATACATATTATATAATATATGCCAGTAATTATATGACAGTTGACTAAAACAAATAATTGAACAATATATTAATATAATAAATAATAACTTTTTGTTACATATTGACCCTTTATGTATTCCATGTGCGTAGTTTTGATTTCCCATATTAGCCTGGCTGATGGGTCGGGCAATGCTCTTAATAACAGGTGTAATTCTATTACAGCCCTCTACATGCTACACTCAGGACTTTTAATCCCTTCTCTACGTAATGTAGACACAATACAATTTCTCATGATAGTAAGTTTAATCATAATATAAAATAAATCATATAAGAATATTTGAATTTAGTAGTCCTATGCTATAATTTTCTAAACATACAAGAGTATATGTATATGTATATAAAAAGTATATATACAGAAGAAAGAAGGACAACGTGTTAGTAGTCGCGTGGGGTTTCGAGGTAACACCCTGTATACGTGCATTCGTAACGTAGGGTCGTAGAGTCGAGTCGACTCTTCGTTATCGAGCGGGAGCCCGGCGAGGGCGTGCGCGCGCGCACACGCACACACGTGCGCAGATTCCCTCCTCTGTCGGCTGCCACTAGCACGTTACAGAAGGATAGACGAGCATCGAAAAGAGATAGAAAAATAGATAGATGGATAGATAGATAGATAGATAGATATATAGATATATAGATAGATATATAGATAGATAGATACATAGATAGATACATAGATAGATAGATACATAGAGAAGGCCACTTCAGCTTTCTTTATTCTCAGAAAAATGGAAAAAAATAGTATATGAAGGAAATAGGAAGAAGGAGGGTAATGGATGGGGAGTGGTATTCGTTGTTTTTAGACAAAAAAAGAGAAGGATAAACGATAATCAAATGTTGGGGTTAAGAAGAAAAAAAGAGAAAATCCGATCTAAGGGTACAAGAGAAAAAGAGAATGATAAAGAAAGTGAATGATTGAGAAAGATAGAAAGGGTGCTGTCGATGTTAGAAACAAAGAGACAGAAAAATAGATAGTAGGAATACCAGTGGTGGATAAATCGGAATAGTGGGGGTTAAGGGGTAGAGAAAGATGAAGGGAGATAACTGACCGAATGTCGACTAAGAATAAGAAAAGGAAGAGGAGAGAAGATCCGATCGAGAGCAAAAAGGAGGAGAATATTACGAGGGTGTAAGAGAGAGAGATAGATAGATAGATAGAAGGGTGTTGTGCTGATGTTGATGTTAGTCAAAGAGAGAAAAAGAGAGAAAAAGAGAGAGACAGATAGTAGGAAGAATGGTGGTAGTAGTAGTAGTGATGATGTTGGTGGTGGTGGTGGATAAAGTGAAATGGTGGGGATTAGGGAGAAAGAAAGAGAGAGAGGAGGGTTGAAAGTGAGAGGGAGAGAGGGTAGAACGGAAGAGAACAGGGTTGTTCCAGTGTGCAGCGGGCGGGCATCGCGGCGGGGGCGCCGTTCTGCTGCTCCTGTATAACAAATCTAGGATTATATGCACCATCCACCGCATCCCAGTGAGCACGACGGCGACGGCGACGGCGACGGAGACGGAGACGGAGACGGAGACGACGACGACGACGACGACGACGACAACGACGGGGACGACAACGGGGACGGTGACGAGGACGAGGACGAGGGCGAGGACGAGGACGAGAACGAGGACCAAAACGACGACGACGACGACGGCAAAGACCACGACCAAAACTTTAACGAATACATTGACAACGACCGAAACGACGACGACGACGACGACGACGACAAAAAAGACGTTGACGACGCCGACGACGACGACGACGACGACAACGCCGCTGGGAAAAAGCAGAAGGAGAAGGAGGAGGAGGTATTGCGAGGGCATCGGTAGCGAGTATTTGGTACCAGTGACGAAGACGTTTATAGTGAAGGTGCTAACGATAATATTACGCGTCGTGTCACGGTCGATCTCATTTTTGGACCTCCGGTATTTGTCGGTGGTTTCATTCTAAAAAGAGAGAGAGAGGGGGAAAAAGAGTTAACAAAAAAATAAAGAGGAAAAGAAAATAAAGAGTGATTTGTGAGAGACATTTAATCGTGTAATCAACATGACTAGATCTAAGTTAATATTTTAGGCTCGATTTTCTAGGTGTATACGACGTGACGAAAAGAGAGAGAGGGAGAGATAAGAAAGATAAGATAGATAAGAGAAAGGGGAAAAATAGAAGTGTTAGAGAGAAGAGTTGCTAGAGTTGCTGGAGTAAAAGGGCGGGGGTGTAGGAGGAAGAAGAGGCGCGCGCTGCGAGCGCTAGGAGCGGCGCCGTCGAAGGAGGAACCGTGTCTCCTCTCTTTTCCTTATCCTCTAGGGAGGGAGTGAGAGAGAAAGAGAGAGAGAGAGAGAGAGGGGTGGTGGAGTAAAGGTAAAAGAAGAAGAAGGAGAAGGAGAAGAAGCGGTGTCGCGGCACGCCGCGCCACGCCGCGTCGTCGTCTTTAGAACGCAAGCGATAAATAAGATAGATTGAAGGATTGAAGGAAAAAAGTCATAAGAGATTGATAGAAAAGATGTTGGCGAGTGTAGGTGAACGCAGAGCGCCGGCGATCGCTGTAGGACTAGTGTTGCCTTTGCTTTTCTTCGTATTACTCGTCATGGCACCGAGTTCATCGATGGCTCATAGGCCAGCTCCGAACAATCCAATTTTGCTGCAGCCTTCTGTACCGAGCACCAGCACCAGCACGGTTACGCCCTATTGGATGCATTCTTCTTTTAATAATAATAATAATAATCATTATAATAATAATAATAATAATAATAACGGTAGTTTTGAAGACAGTGATGAGATGACATTAACTGACGGATCCAACGTCACTTATCATCTTCATCACGAGGAAAAGGCTCCGCTATTCCCCAGGGATTTATTTACCGTCCAACAACGACGACAAGGCGCCGTAATACTTCACGTACTCGGTGTCGTGTATATGTTCGTCGCCTTAGCTATCGTCTGCGACGAGTTCTTCGTACCCTCGTTGGATGTGATTATCGAAAAACTTGAGATTGCCGATGACGTTGCTGGTGCTACCTTCATGGCTGCTGGTGGCTCCGCACCAGAACTTTTCACATCGGTCATCGGCGTCTTCGTTTCTTTTGATGACGTTGGCATTGGCACCATCGTTGGTTCAGCTGTATTTAATATTCTATTTGTCATCGGCATGTGCGCTATTTTTTCCCGTACCGTATTATCCCTCACATGGTGGCCACTATTTCGCGATTGCACCTTCTATAGCGCAAGCCTACTCACCCTGATCTACTTCTTTCGAGACAATTATATATACTGGTACGAAGCCCTCGTGCTATTTGGATTCTACTTGGCATACGTCAGCTTCATGAAGTGGAACCAACCGATGGAGAAACTCGTCAAGAGGATACTCTACAGGAACAGGGTGACTAGGGTGAGGTCTACGGATCAGCTGATGCCCTCGGTATGTTACCAACTATCATCTTCTTTTTACAATACCTTTATCTTATTATCTTATACATTTTTCGACTGTCCTATCATCTTCTCAATCTCATATTTTTGTTTCTATATATTCAACCTTATTTTTCCACCTCATCTTCACTTAAAAAATAATGCGACATCGCATTACACGCTTATTTCTCATTCAAATTCTAACTATTAGATTTCCACTAACAAACGGAAAAATAACTTTGATTTGGTAATATCCTGTCGATGAGATGGAAGTTTATTGTTTGTATAATACCACCTCGTTCTAACGATTTCAAACAGAAACAGTCAGTTTGAATTATTTTCCCAAAAAAAGAGAAAGTATCAATGTGAATTCATATTTAAATAAATATAAACTCCAAAAAAAACGAAAATCATAATTCAAGGCCATCGATAGTGCCAGAGACCAAGCAAGAAGTCGTCATCATTGTGTTAAGTTTCTTCGATTAGCCTGGAGCTAGTGGTACTTTTAATGTACCTACCCAAAAACTATAGTACTTTTATCTCCCTTCAAAAATTAGATGGTATCTCTGATAACCTAGTTTCGAGTACTTTTTTGCCAGAAAGTTTCAACGTTTTTAACACATTTGTCTTTTGTTTTATTTATTTTTTTTTAATTTTTTAATTTTATCTTCGTTTCATTTCACTTCTTTTCTCTTTTCTACATATTTTTTCTACTTTTATATTCAAATAAGATTCACCATCTTTTACGTCATACCTTTGTTTGATCGTTGAATGAAACGAAATGAATATTATTATCATCGATGGAAGAGTTTCACGGTAGTCGATAGTAATTGTCATTGTTGTCCAAGGAAGAGAGAATTTATTCCCGTGAAGAAGGCAAGTGATAGTACTTCGTAAGCAATTCGCGTTTTCGAGTAGATCGATTTTGAATCCTCCATGGGTGAGTAGTAGGAGTCTGGGAAATTGGTTATCGAGAGGACATACTTCACCGCAATCACAATTCCGGAAGAGCTCCGTCCTAGAGACGAGCACGAGAGGAAGGATCTCTAGAATTGCAAGGACACGGCTAACTTTTTTTTAATCATTTTATTATCACGTGAAATCGAGCAACGCTCTTTATATTATAGTAAAAAAAAAAAAATAAATAAAAAAAAAATGATATCGTTTGATTATATTTGCACGCAAAGATATCATCGATAAGTACAATTTAATAAATTCAAAGATAAACTTGACTTAATAGAATTTATTATTACTAAATATTGTAAAACTAATTGGATGTTTATATTTTAAATATATGATTTTAATTATAATTTATTGTATTATTTAGCTTGTTGAAAAATAATGTTGGTATTTTTAATATTTTATATTTGAAGAAATAATATTAGTATTTGTTTTACCAAAGCTCGTGAAATTATTGATTAATCCAAGAATATTAAATGGTAGAGTTATGGGATTAACATTATGTCAGAGTTGCAATAGTATAATATAATTTTCGAAATAAAATATTGATCAGCCAAATATTAACAATTAAAAAGATATTACAATCAGATTAGGCCAGGTTCTATTTTTTGTTCACGTTAATATTGATTTTTTCTTTAACTAGCTACACAAAAAAAATAACTTATTACAGAGATTAATATTAAAGTTGGAAATCTTGTATTTTTTTTTACCTCTACCTTATATTATTTTATTTTATATTTTGTTTTCTCTCTCAAACGTCGCGGAAGATGAAGTACGACGTTCGAGAAAACCTTTTGCTTACTTTCTCTTTCTTTCTTTCTTTCTTTCTTTCTTTCTTTCTTTCTTTCTTTCTTTCTTTCTTTCTTTCTTTCTTTCTTTCTTTCTTTCTTTCGACAAGCAGAAAACAAATGGTTATCGGTTTTCTAATTAGAGGAAAATAACTTTTATCTTAACTTTATCCATAATATTTCGATTCGAATTGTTTTATATAATTTTTATCCTATTTACGAAAAATAATACGATTTCTTCAAAATATCACTAGATATATATATATATATATACATTGTTTTTCGTTTTTCACTCAGTCGTTGAATAACTTGATTTGTTTTTTTATTTATTTATTTATTTCACGTTTCATTCTTTCCGAAAATTTTATATAAAAGCTTTTTATAAAAGAGTTTTTCGCATAAACGTTTATTTGTTGTTGGAGTTTTTCCTCAAAAGTATTTCGTATATAAATACATATATGCAGAAAGCTTATCTGACAGTTTGCAGATTCGTGACATAAAAATCTTTTTTCTCTATTTCACTCTTTCTTTCTCTACAGATTTATATTATTTGAGAATGCACAATATATATCTTTATATGGTCTATGCATTTCAATAAAACAGATAAGATTTTATATTATCCATTGTAACAGAGATTAACATTATTATTATAAATTGGTCATTTAAATGATTATTTTTATCAACGTATATATGAATAAACATTAATATTTTTATTAATGAATATTTATTGAAAGAAAGATCTCTTTATACTAATAATATTAAGAGAAATTTATGTAAAGAAATTTCCAAAGTGTGTAATACAACATTTTCTGTTGTTCATTGTGATTGAGATAAATAATACATTATTCCAACAAAATAAATAATTTTTATTAACGTCCACGGAAGTAAAAATGTATGATTGAACATTTGAGAAAAAAACAAATCCATTATATGAAGTATAAGTAGAAAAACTGATATAAGAGTGAGTAAAACATAAAGGGATGAATGTTTAAATGGAAGGAAATTTGAAAATATGTAAATCAGGAAGGCAATTCTTGTCGTTAGATGGCACCAAGTAAATTTAACGATAATCTAAAAAGCCATATGTTAAAGCAGCCTTAATCGTGGCTTTCTTTGACATACCACCAAGTGGAAAGAGCTGGTCATAGTGATATCGTACATGTGTAACCTCTCTAAACCGCAAACGAGATCTAACGAATTAGAGAAGGTAGTTTAGAACGTTAACGTTTAAGTCTCGTTTTGATTAGGCACTCCTTAACAGTCTACTAAACGTTTCAATTTTATTCTAATTTTATTTGCAAACACAATACCTTTCATTTTAATTATTTTACATTTTTTTATATTAATAATTTTATGCTTATTTATTATTTCTATTTACGCTGATTTTTTTTTTTTTTTTTAATTAATTTGTCTGAAACATTTTCGCCTTATCGAGAAAAAAAAAAGAATAAAAGAAAAAACCCTTAGCACTGGATAGGTAATATTTTATTGAAAGCTCCTATTGTTCGTTCTATGATTTACCTTCCCTTCCTTTCTGTCTCTGAGGGTAGTTAAGAGTCTACCGCGATATGGAAATTGAAATTACGCACGCGATCCAACCTTCTTCAATTCTCTCCAGTATTCCAGCTTCTCGTTCTCATGATATGTGTGGTGAATTAAGTTGAACGATAATCCGCAGACGTGGTTCAGCCGGATCAACTGTAATTATTGCAGTTAAACGTAGGACACGCTCACTCTAACCACAAACTAATGACTACCTCTTGCTACAACATTTTGGCTGAATATATGTCCTATATATCTGTTTGACCTAACTCTATCTATCTATCTATCTTTCTTTCTTTCTCACTTTCACTTTATTTCTTTTCTTTTACTCTCTTTTTCTATTTCTTCGAATATATTAGATATATTTTTCTACTAAATTACTTCAAGTTTCAGTGAGTATCTTAGTATCAATTATCGTTGTTATTTCAAATATTTTATTTGCAAAATTTATACATTTCTTTCTTAAAAAGTATAAATATCTTACAAATATATTAACATATATTCTTTAAATAGATTTAACAATTTAATCTTTGATTAAGTAGAACTTAACTAAAGAGATAAATTAAAGTAGGCTACTCTGGTTAGAAGCTAATTTTGCGTTGGTTAAATCTCAGCGATGGTTTGAAAATAAAAAAAAATGAACGTTTAACCGGTCTCTCGTTATCCACGAAAATGATAAGAGCAAAGACGAGGAAAGGCGCGTGTTCCGCAACTTTATTGTAATTTCCTCAGGGAGTTGGCTTTTAGAGTCAGTCGCATCCCCGTGAGCATCTTAATTGAAAGCTTCAGGTCAATCTTCCAGGTTCACTATTAACGAGATTGTTTTTACCAATGGGGACGAGCAATTTCGACGCTTACTAACTTTTTTCAGAACTCACCTGCGATTTTCAGATCGTTTTTATCGTTTATGGTCTGAAATAAATACTTATCTAAACTTACTATCTTCTTGTTCGTTTTTATTTATTTATCATGTACAATACAGGATGGATCAAAAGTTTCTAGAGAATTTTAAAAATCAATTTCACTTTCTCGAGATTTTTTAGATTAATTTTTTTTTTTTAAATAAATTTAGTGATTTTTAAAATCATCTTGAAACTCTTGGTCCATCTTAGTATTACAACACTTTTGATATAATAATTATATTTTTTTTTATTAACGTTATTTATATCTTAATATATATAAATTACGTGTCACGTTGTTTGTCCGCAATGGACTCTTAAACTACTGAACCGATTTTAATAAAATTTTGCACACTGTGTGTAGTTTCATCTAACTTAAAAGATAGGATAGTTTATATCTCAATTTTTAATCGCAATATTATTTTATTGAGAATTATTTGTTTATTAACAAAGAGTCATGATTATCTCTGTTAGTTTGATAAGATTCTAACAGATGGCGGTATAAGGTAATTCGTTGACTTTAAGACGTGTGTATCGGACTGAATGTGAGCCATAGCAACGCGTGGCGGGGCACCCCTAATTTATTATAATATACAGTGAAAATATAAAAGGTATTGACATAATATTTAATTATAATAAATCCGTTTGGATGCAAACGTCATTTATAATAATTCAATGTTTATTCTTCTATTGATATTATACTATCTTTAATTATATCATTTAACTCCTTTCTTTCTATCGTCTTTCTGCTTCCATCTCATCGATTTATTATAAATGCATACAAAAATATAAGATAATGAATAAATCCTTTTCTATATCCTTGTCTTTTAATACGCATTTCATTTCCTAACATAACATTTGTGTAAATGTAAATGCAGCGGAATTCTACCCCACTTTCTATACGTCGAAATAGATTTATATCAATGTAACAGTTCTATTCAATTTCTATTGAAGTTCGTTGTCGTGAATTAATCACGTTGCATATTATCAATTATCAAACTCAAACCTATAATTATCAGTAGTAATAGTACAAACATTGAATATAAAATCATATCATTCTAAAATGTGCATGTTATCAAATCGTTATCGTTATTATCTTACGAACTTTGACATTTCATTTATAAAAATTCCGCTGTGTTGGTGTTTCTATTTTTCCTTTAACCTCTTTTTCTTGTTCTTCTTCTAATTTTCATTTACTTAAAAGAGCTCGTTATTTCTCAAGCTTTTACAAATTTCACACAGCAACAACAACCAAAAACATCTGCGTATGTACGATTCGATGTGAACCGCTTTCGTAAGCACTGCACTTATTTAATTGTATAATCGTTTCTCCTTGTCGTAAACCGAATTCTATCGAGAAGGAAAGAAGACAAAAAAACAGAAAGAAATAAAAAAAAAAAATACATGAGAAAATTATTTAAAAAAAAACAAAAAATACTAAATTGACTGGCATAATTGTGATTGTAACTGGGTGTTTCTTGCTTGCAGCACCAGAGCGCCGCCCAAGCATTGGTGAGTCGCATGAGTCTCTCTTTTTCTCATTCTAATTCTTTTCTGTCTCATCATTCTATCTATCTATTTATCTATCTATCCATCTATCTTCTATAAATATCTCTTTCTATCTCTATTTTTCATTTACGTCATTTTTCGTTTAAACACAAGATCGGATCAAATGATAACGTAATGCAACTGTTTATGTCCCTCTTTTTCCTTACATTTAAACATTCAGTCTGTTTAACCACTTTATGCTGGTAATTGATTAAATAATACGAATGACAAAATAGTTCGTAGTAACTCAAAACTCCAAGAAGTTATTTCTATGTATATTTTAAACAGACGTGTACAATAATTCTCTTTTATAATTTTCTTCCAGAATAATGTTTTCCAAAGTAACGTGGAATGCGGAATGTAAAAATTTTTATACGAGCGAAGATATTTTCTTACATTTCCAGAATAGTTACACAGCATTTTTTACTTTCCACGTATACAGTGACTCCAAAAAATATTCGCCTATTACAGTTAACGTTTTGACTTCATATTTCCGTTGTTTATAAAACGATCGTTCTGGTTATTATTTTTAGTAATGGCTAATTGGTAAACATATATAACTTAGAACTGGAATGTAGTTGTTTTTATTTTTTAAATGTAAATTTTGTTTCAAATTTTTTTTTCTTTTTATTAATTCAATGCGTTATCTTGATATTTCTTATCGTGAATCGAAAAGAATATTGAATTTAAAGAAGAGAAATAAAAAGAACTCTTTATTTGATGTACTCAACTTTAATTTAACATGGTTGCACGTGACGCTTAAACATGCACACACGTAAATCATCCCTTCTGACTACACGTGCATCCCTTTTTGCATGATAATCCTGATGCGTAGAGAATGTAAGTGTATGTGTATATATTTCAAATAGAACGTGTGTAGTATGCATAAATTAGAAATGAAATGTTCTAGCAAGTTTACAAGAATGTTACTTTTTTCTGTGCTCGTTATTTTATTTATTAACTTTTTACATTCGCATAGGTTCTCTCTTTCAATTTCTTTTTCTATGAAAAAGAGTATAATGTGTTATTTGAATGTTGAACAATGTTTATTATCGTCGTTTAACTATCCTTTTTTTAACTTTAATAATTATAGTGTCATGAACAACTAATTTGCATGCTACGATTAACTCCGTCTTTTTGATATGCTTTTTTTTTATTAATATTAAATCTTTATAAGTGATATTTCATTATAACATGTTTCGTTAATATTTTTCTAAGCTAAGTAGATTGTTGTATTTTTAAAAAAACATCACATATGTACCAAAGTACATACGAAATTATTTATCATTATTTAACTTAAGCATAAACAGATCTATACATACATTATTTATATGTGGTAATGCAACGATCATTCTCAAGAATTTGTACATAAGTATATTAATAAATAACTTCAAAATTCACATGTATATCTACAAAAAGATCTATTATTATTTAGGTGAACATAAAGAATATATATATATAAGAAATATTGGACGAATCTTTGTGACTTTCAGTAAGTAAGTAACAAATCCCGATTCGTTGTCCTCACTTTAACGGCATACTACGAAATAATTTACTCCTGATGGATGCCAGGAAAAATCCAATCGCACAGATAATCGAATTGTCGGCTCGATGGATCGGAGAGTATCTTCTCTTTCTCGGTTAGTCTTTTCCCCTAACGATAGACACACAGAGAGAAAGAGTGTCGTATTTTTTTCTCTATTTTCTTCTTTTTTTTTTCTTTTTTATATCATCGGATTAGAATGTTCATTCGCCTGTGTGAATCGAGACGACTATGGCAGAGAAAAATTTCGTTTGGCCCATTGTGCTGTTCGCGTTTATCGATCCAGGCCAATCCTATTGTCGTTAAGGGATATAAATTGATATAGAACGAAAGAGGAAAATAAAACTATGACTTAGAAATCTGACGATTCACGCAAATCTAACGTAACCGTATGTTCTTTTTCTTTTATTGAAGTTTCAAACAACAACAAAAAGAAATGTTACTAAGATGAATGATTCAATGTGGCCTATCTATGCACGGTTATATTTCTTTTTGTTTTTTGTTTTTTTAGAAACACAATAATGTACGTGCGTGCGCGTTTGTGAAAAAAAAAAATATAATACATGCGCATGCGAATTTGCAAAAGAGAAAAATACGACCATAAATATTGCATGCAATTCAAGTTTTTTTTTATTTGCCACACATTTTCGTTATAACTTTTTAATAAATTATTTATAAGTCTACGCTTATGTAAGATTTTTTCTTATTTTCTACTAGTAAAAAGAAAATACTGACACAATTTAGCCAAAAAATATTTTGCATATGTATATAAGCAATATATCGTTCGGTTCGTGTATTTTCGGATACACTCGAGTTATTTCAGGGCGTACCCCCTATCGAATCTAGGTCGAAAGTAAAAGTTCTCTAATTGCGCCTTTATCGATTCCAATAACCGATTTGTAGTCTCAATATGGTCTTTGAAGATATCATGAAAGTTTTTGAAGTTACTAGGAGACCCTAACTCTGATCCAAATAACGTCTAAATCGTGAAACATTATCGGTCTACTGATGCTACTTTAAAACGTGACAAATATTATCAAAAAGAGACGTCTTATAATGATATATTGTTTTGTCTGACTTTAAGAGTCATCATAGATCGTTGCGTTACATGCATATATTCGTTTAACAGCATTATACGTCACAAGGGAACAATAAGCTGCACCGTCGCTGTTGAACTTTGTATCTAGCAACGTTTTACTAACCACCATTGTGGTCCTATTAAATTGCGAATCCTATATTCATTCTTTCGTTTAACTTTCTCGTATACGAAAATTACGTATTTATTTATTTATTTGTTTACTATGTAATGTATGATTATGTATATTTGTACTATTCTTTTGTTTTTATATAAAAATCTTATGCATTTATATAATATTTTATACAATATGTAATTATAGTATTGCCCACGCATTCACGATGCATTAACTTTATTTATCAGTTAAATTGTGTTTTATTTTTTCCTAATATTAGTAATTTAGAATTATTAGAATATTAGTAATTTTAATTTATTAGAATATTAGTAATTTGATTTCTTCCAAACTGTGTTTTTATTACATTTAACAGAAAGCTTTATAAACGATTCGAATCTTTTTTATATAATTTGTTTAATTTATTAAT